TGTTGCGTACATAGCAGTTATCAGTGCTTTTAATTGTAGTATGTTGACTTGCAGCTGGTAATTAAATGTGTCCTACGATATATGTATGTGTGCGTTACCAAGTGCTGTGAGTTCTTGCAGTGCTTCCTCTGTGTATACTGTGAATCCAGTACCTGGTGAAACATAGATTGGTGTGGGTTGAAATGGATCTTGAAGTTTCAACCCTCTGCCACAGGCAGGGACACCTTCCACTAGAGCAGGTTGCTCCAAGCCCCTGTGTCCAACCTGGCCTTGAACACTGCCAGGGATGGGGCAGCCACAGCTTCTCTGGGCACCCTGTGCCAGCACCTCAGCACCCTCACAGGGAAGAACTTCTTCCTTATATTTAATGAGAGGGAGAGGAGAGAGGAGGAAGGCAAAAAAAGATCAAAATTTTTTTTTCTCCTCTTTATTTGTTCCTCTCATTTGCATGCAGTGACCTTAATGCAGAGACAGCATTATCAGCCTGTCTCCCAAAAGCTTGTGCAGAGTTTTCACAGTGCTGTCATTTTAGTTTTCATAATTCCACAAAGGCTGCGAAAGGGTGATCTAAGTTTTCAGTAGGCTTGCCCTCAACTGGTTTGTAAAGTGACTCTTTTGGCTGAATTTGGCTTTTCGTTAGCTTTATTTATAGTGACCCACAAGATTAGAAGTAGGCTAACGTGTTCTAGCATGTGCATGAATTCTGTGATTAAGAAACATGGCATAAAGTGTATTCATTTTTCTGAGCTAAGTATTGCCAAAGAGAGGGACAGCAGTTTGAGTAAGAGTCACTAATGTTAGTAACTTCAAATGCAGGCACAGTTGTGGAATGATTCCATTTAGTGATCACTTCTACCACTTTCCCCTGTGTCCTTTGCCCCAAAAGACAAAGCAGACAGGGGAGGTTGTACTAAAATTTCTCACTGGGGCTTCATGACCTGTATTGTTACTAAACCAGCAGCTCTTTAGCATGTGTTCCTATGTTTGTGACCGAGTTGTAGTAGGCTGACATGGTTGGCATGGCCCTGTGCTAACTGTGGTGCTTGGCTTGGGAGAAACAACTTCTTCAGATGAAGTTTGTTTTGGTGAGTGACTGGAGCACTTACTGGAATTACTGTTTCCTAGACTAAGCAGTTCTAAAGGTAAATGTAGTTATGCACAGACCACTTCCAAAAATCAAGTTTAAGTTTCCTGCAGAAGTAGAGTGATTATAACTTTCGGCATCCCTCAGCTTCACCAAGGTTGGTGGGATGTTTTACTACCATGATGCTTGTGATGACAAAGTTTCATACTTCGGAAAATAACCTCAATTTTTATTTTTATTTGGTTTAGCAGTAAAGTTCTGGGCTCTTCTGACAAAATAGCCACGTTTTGTTTTATTTTCCTGTGAGGTTTACCAACATTAGCTTTGTATCCTGAAGCTGAAGGAATTGGTAGAAGTTCATGGATGTCCCAAAATACATGACTTTTGAATTAAGGTGGAAACTGATGCCTGTCAGATGTGGTAGTGCCTTAGACTTAAGCACCGAATATAAAATTAAAGGAAATTATACTAAGAAAGGTTTCTTAAAAATGTACGTATTTATTTTTTAAAAAAAGAAAACTACAAAGTTTGGTTGTTTTTTCTTTCCTATTTAATATCTGTAGGCAGAATACCACTAAAGTGACTTAACACTTTTATCTTTCGCTTCCTATTATGTGCATTGTGGTATTTTTCACTCTTCTGGTTTATGGAGGCTTATTACAAAAATTGTAACTATTTATGTTGCTTTTAGGTTTTTCTAAAAAGAAAACTAATGCTTTATTGACTAAAAGACAACAAGTATTTCCCATTGCTTTTAGAGTCAGGTTATTAAAATATTATCCATGCAGTATTTGTCAAAGAGAAGTTAGAGCAATTGTATTACCGTTGAAAAAAATACATACCTTAAATAAAAACATAAAAAGCTGCAATGTTGATAAATGTCTCTGAACATAAACAGTTCCGTTAATGGAAGTTATGTTTCAGTCTGGTTTTTCTACAGAACCTATTAATTAATAGTATTGACATGTCTTAATGGTGTATGTGGAAGATTAGCCTTTGGCTTCATGTCCTGAAGTGACCTAGGATACTACAGACACTGAAAAAAGAACTAGCTAATTATCACAGATACAATAATGGATTTGTGTGAAGAGATGTTTTTAACAGTGCTTCTGGATAGAATCTCCTTGTCAGGTGCAAATACATGTATTTGTTGTGTAAACCAGTATTTTATGTCTGTTGGGTAGACACAGGGCCACCTTTTTATTTCTGCTGAATTACCAGTAAGGAATGATTATTGATGGAGGCAAGGGATGATCCATAGAAAGTTTATTTACTCGTATGGAAGTAGAAGTTTGTCTCAGATGCCTGCTTTCTGGTTTGTGTTGTATAACACAGAAGGAAAAAAATACTGATTTAGTTTTAATGCACTCAGAAAGCTTGTTCTGTGGAGTCTTCATTTTCCTTAATAATTATGTGCACTTGGGGAAGTGGGACAGCTCATGGCATATGGGAATTGCAATGTGAAATTTTTCCTGGGTTTGTGATGGGATGAATAAAGATTCTTGGTATGCCTAAATATTAATAATAGTCATTTCCTTCTAGGTTCGTGCACATACCATCCAGGTGTGCCAGTCTTTCATGATGCTCTCAAAGTAAGTGTGCAACTATCTGTTTTCTATTTTTGTCATATATGCAAAACAGTGTACTTCTTTCCAAATCTTCCAGTGCTGTTGAAACTGATGTTCATCCTATCATGTTTGAGCAACACCATGAAATTAGAAAAGCACACTTAAGTCAGCCTTGAAGAAAACATTAAAAGCTTTACTCATATGATCTAAATGTCATGTAAGTCTATGACACATGTTTCCTGTTGATTGACATAAGGTGTCTCAAGTGTTTAGGTAGATCTTCTGAATAGGTCTTTGGAGGCATTGAGAGGTGTCATTCTTTCAGTTAATTAGCCTGCTTGGAGTTCAGACCAGCTGCTTGTGGTCTTATGTGGCTGGAGCACTAATCATAGAATCACAGAATGGGTTGTGTTGGAAGGGACCTTAAAGCTCACCCAGTTCTAACCCCCTGCCATAGGCAGGGACACCTTCCACTAGATCAGGTTGCTCAAAGTGCCATCCAGCCTGGCCTTGAACACTGCCAGGGATGGGGCAACCACAGCTTCTCTGAGCAACCTGTGCCAGTGCCTCAGCACCCTCACAATAAAAAACTTCTTCCTTGTATCTAATCTAAATCTACCCTCTTTCAGTTAAGGTGTGTGTGACGTTTGCCTACTGTAAAAAGAATGGTGTTCCCTTAATTGGTCAAGTGAGAATGTTGGTTCAGTTGGAACTGATCGCCCATGCCTCCTATGCAGATGCCCAGGATTGTTGGGCTACATCTTCAGTAGTGAATTAAATGTACCTGTGATGGTCTCTAGTGTTCAGGCCAACCACGTAGCCCATCTTCATTGTATTAAACTGTTTTCCTACAGCAAGATCTGCTGAATGCACCCAAGTGCCTACATGGAATTATTCAGACACAGCTGCCAAAACAGTACCAGAAATCATTCTAACGATTTAATTGTGTAAGGGCAGAAATCTGGTGCCCAGAAATGGAGCCTGGTGCTGTTTAGGGTATTATACAGCTGCAGCCTAAGCAGCCTTTCTTAGGAAACCAAACTGCTTTTAATCTGAGCTCTGGGGCTGTTTAGGAACTGCTTCTACTGGCAATGCAGCCCATCTCTTTCCCATAATGTGGTGTCTTTGGGACTCATGGAAGCTTGTGCATCTGTGCTGGGAAGCGTGTTTCCTGCAAGCTACTGCTCTTATTGCAGTACATAGCTCTGGAATGTGCCATTGTATGCCCTTGGGAAGGATGCTGTTAGGTCAAATAGAATCATAGAATAGTTAGGGTTGGAAAGGACCTTAAGATTATCTAGTTCTAATGATGATACGATGCAGTTACTTAACTATGGCAATTTGTTCTGTACAAAATTATAGTTGTACTCATAACAGTACATAAAGCTTCTACCTAATTATAAAGACAAAAATTACACAGTTGCCTCAAGAACTTGTCTTTACTCCCTCTTACATACAGCATTTTTAAAACAAATACTACTTTTCCCACTTTCCTTATCCTATATCTTGGTGTCATTAAAAAATGATCATATTTTATTATGAGTGCTTTTCTTCCTGCTGTGATCTGTAGATAATGTAAGTGGGCAGGGTGAACCTTTTGTCATCTCACCTATGGAAATAGTTGTTGGTTTTGGGGTTTTTTTTGAGGATGGTGTAGAGCCACCTACCAAACCCCATTGTGTTGCACTGCTTAAGCTCTCCAAGCAGTGGTGCATTTATTAGTCAAACTGTTGTCTTTAATAAGGTTCCTTGAGTTCTAAGGTACCTTATTCAGAGTGGCAAGATTATTTTCTCTAAAACTGGCATTCTGGTTTATATAATAAAAAATTCTTGGTTGATGTGGTTGGATAGATGGCTGTGCAATGCGGATATCCAGCTGTGTGATGGGGAAATAAGCAGTTGAAAGACTTGAGTAGTGCTCAAGGAAGGAAGGAAAGAAATTCTTACTGATTTAGGATGGGGGCCTGTATGTTCTGCCACAGGTGAGCCTAGTCCCAGCTATAGAGTATTTTTTTTACTTACATGTTACTTTATAAGATAAAGTAAAATTTCTTCCCCTGTCATACAGGGTTTGCACCAAACTTGTCACAGAAATACTGGCTCACATTACGAAGTTTTCGGGGGGGGGGGGGGGGGGGGGGGAACTAGAAATGGCAGCTGTAACACATTTCTCTGGCTTTAAAAACTGCAGGTGATGATAATATTATCCAAACAAGGGAAAAAGAAAATCTCTAATCATCATGTGCCACATCTTGTAAGGAATACAGTTAGTCTTTTGCTTTTTATAAGCTGTTGCTAAGGAAGGTAGTCATGCTTGTTTTGTTTTCATTCCAAAATGTTTATAGGGTTGGTCATGTTGTAAGAGAAGAACAACAGACTTTTCTGACTTCTTAAGCATTGTGGTATGTACTCATGATTATTTACCGTTTTTTATACTTGTCAAATGACATAATACTGATGAGAAGTGGCATAATTTTGTTTAAACTCTGAAATCTTGCATGCACTATTTTTCTTGATAAAATGTTGAAGCTGGGTCTCATTTACAAGCTTTAATGGTGCTAATTAGTTCTATCAAAACCTATTTAGATGCTTGTTAATAATGAAAGAAGGTCATTATTTTTTGTTCCTTTGCTTAATTGTGGAAAGCATGTGTTTTTCTTTAATGTATGTCCAAATGGAGATATTTTCCATTTTAGTCGTAGGATTTCTTTTGTAGCCAATGTTTCGAGTAGATTAAAGGATGGTGAGTTAAAGGTGGGGCTGAAGAAATAAATCAAGAAAACCTGTAGTTTTTGATAATTTTGAATTGTGCACACAAACTACACTGCATAAACATATGCTTTCCTCAATAGGGCTGTACAAAGGGTCTTCATAACAGTGAGAAGCCTCCTGAGCCTGTTAAACCAGAAGTCAAAACTACCTCTGAACGAAAGGAGCTAGCTGAACTGAAACCCAGATTTCAGGAACACATAATTCAGGCACCAAAACCATTGGAAACAATTAAAAGGCCAAGGTAGAGTATATGAAACGCAGTTTTTCCACATTTATGGTCAGTTAGCCAAGTTAAAGCTTGTTTGGTTGCTCAGTGTCTCACATTTCATGTAGTATAAAAGTTCCAAAACTAATTTTAAGAGTCTGGTAGCGGTGATGATGTTATCTTAAGCTTCAAAATAAGATAAAAGAACTCAGGTTAGGACAAGGTAGTACTGGATCTCTTAGTATTTAGCTTTACAGGAAATAAAAGTTGCAGCCAGTAGCTTAGAATGCCACTAGCAGTTGTGTTTAGTCTTATAAACAGTCATAAAATTAACTTTAGGGTGCTTGTATTTAGATTCCTCAATCTCCCTGATTTATTTTATTGCTGTAGGTTGTTTAGGATTTCCAATTGAAAGACAAGACTGCTTTCTAAATTCCCACTGGTTTTTTTTTCATAAGCAGTAAGAATTGGCATTTGCAAAGCTTGTTTGTTTGTTTGTTGTTGTAAGGGGGGTTAGAAAGGAAGAACCTTAGAGCAAGATGAAGAGTTACTACTCTGTTGTGTTTTGTAAATGATTTTGTATGAAGATGACATAAGTACATGGACTTTTTTTAGCCCAGATGAGCCAATGACAAATTTGCAGCTGAAAGTGTCAGCTTCCTTGAAGCAAGCACTAGATAAACTGAAGCTGTCATCAGAAAATGAAGAGAAAAAAGGTAAGGATATAGTGAGGTTAAGTTGGTATATGCTGTTATTTGTCATGCAAATAAATTAAATGCTGATTTTTTTTTTTTTGCTGTTGTTTCTGAAGTGATAATTTCATGTAATTATGTTCTTAATAATCTGGGAAATACCTTCCAGTCCAGGGAATGGTGATCAAAGTTTAAATGTGAACAATGTGGAGACTTAGGTGTTAGGAGCAGTATGTTGCCATGAAAATTACTTGAACTGCCTGTTTTGTAAGATTTCTGGGTTAAATGGACATGATGACAACATCCATTTCTGAGTATATGACTGAAAATGTTCCCAAGAAGTGAACTTCAGTCCTATGTTACCGCAAACACAATGTCATATGAAGTCTTTCATAAACTGGTGAAATTCCTGTGAAGACTAATTGGTTCTCCCTCATCTGTTTTTCCTCTTTCTTTTTGCATATGTAATACAGGTTTTAGAATGTTTGTGTAATTTCTGTTTCTTTGTACCTTTCTGGCAGACTTCAGTGCCAGGCAGAAAATAGGTTGAGAAGGGATTTTTTTTTCCTAGTCTACTCCTTAGCTGGTTTTAATTCTTAACAAAAGCAAAATACTTTGTATATTACGCAATTCAGTTGCTATTTTCTATAATATGATTCTGTTTACAGAGGAAGACAGTGATGAAATCAAGATTGGGACAGCATGTAAAAATGCAGGCTGTTCAAAAGTAAGTGGTCCAGTTTCACTCTTAAACCCAACTGCTAAACTATTGAGTGTGCATGTTTGCTTTTCTTTCTTGGGTATTTTTTTTCTGTGTGCTACAAATTGATTTGGAAAAGGCACAAAGTCCACCAGGCTTAAAAAATGCAAATTTGATAGCGCTTTAGTATGGATAGATGTAAGCTGCTTTGTACTGAGATTGCTCTGAGAGATGGCTTAAGATGACTCTTAAGCCTGACCTGAACTTCTAATTAGTAAGCTTGCCAAACCCATAATATTAACATGCTTCAACATAAAATGTTGATGAGAGGTGGCTTACTGATAACACATGAATTGCTCTTGGTAACCTGTATATTGTCAGAAGCATCTGCAGATCTTATTCATTAAAGCTTCCTGCAAGAAGAATCCACAAAGAAAATATTTTAGCACTACTAGCACCAAAATTAGTCTTTATATTAAATAGTCATTTAAACTGAAAAGTTTTTACACTAACACCCTTGTGTTGTACAGAATGGGACAGTAGAATTTAAATAGGTGTTTCACTGGATTTGTGACAGATTTTGATTTTTCTACTGGAACTCTGGTGCGAGGAAAAATCCCAGCAGCCCTTTTTTGTGTTAGGAAGAGCTGGTCTGATACTCAGTGGCAGAGTTGTATATTGTTTAATTCCTTTTGAGATTCCGTGTGTTATAAGGATGATAAATTTAAGTTCTTTTCCATTTAAGTACTTTTTTTCTCTGAACATTCAAAGTATTTTTAAAGATGGGCGACTCTGAGGATCTAAAGTGACCTCAGGAGCATCGATGATGTCACTGTTGAATTAATACAAAGTATAGCTTATTAGGAGTGCCACAGAACCTTCTGTCAATGAAGGTTGAATGGTTACTTTGAAAAGCTAGGGCAAGCCCTTAGGTCTAGATTATTTACTCAAAAGCTTTGTAGTACTTTTGTTCAGTGTTTCTGTTGTGAGTTGTGTTTTGCTTTTTCCTTTGGTCCACATCTTGTAACAGTAATACACTTTAAATGCTTTGTTTTGCTAGACGTACGAAGGACCACAGAGCACAGAAGAAGTATGTATATACCATTCTGGTGTACCTATATTCCATGAAGGGTTAGTATTCAGTTAACTCTATTTTTTTTTTTAACTAGTCTGTTATTTTGTACTTCTTTCTTTGTAGATGTTGCCTTGTTTTCATTCTGTATTTCTTCTTCAGTCAAAAATGGCAGTGCTTGAAGAAGGTATACTAAATTAACAGTAATATTGCATAAAGGAAAGAAATATTCACAGTAAATAGTGTCCTAAATATTATTTGTTAATTACTTTGCAAATTTTCAAGGATGAAGTATTGGAGCTGTTGTAAAAGAAAAACATCTGACTTCAATACATTTTTAGCTCAAGAAGGCTGCACAACAGGAACGCACGTATGGACTAAAAAGGATGAGGTAAGTAGCCTTAACGTTGTCTGTAGCTGGCCTTTCTGAAGTTTGAATACTGAAATGTAGTTAGTAGCTTGAATTGTTACTGTAGTTGAGCTGTTACAGATCACTACTTCTACAATAACATAGAGAATGATACGCACAACACGAAAACAGAGAAATGGAAGGGTCTCTTTGTGTCTAGTTTCAGTTCTGTTTACACATCTGAATATTTTCTGGTTTAGTTAAGTGATGTGGCTACCAGCTAAACAAATACAGAGAGCATCTGTTTAGTTAGTAGGTATTTCACTGCAATGATGGGAACAAACTGCAGAATAACAGGGTGAAAAATATTTCCATTCAAGGTTTAAAAAGATTTTCAGAGAATATAGAATATAGTAATGGAAGTGAATGCCCCAGAAACATTAGCTGGTCACATGTTGGATGTTTATGGTTAAGAATTCAGTAATTTTTTGCAGTAATCTGGAAGTTTTTTGGAGTCATGGCTGCCTCTGTTCAGTTCCTTTCTACAACCTGCTGGCTAACTGTAGTCTTGGAAAGGAAGTTAATCCAACAAATAACATTTTGTTGCTGTTATTTCTTTGGGTTTGGGGTTTTTTTATTTTGTTCATTTGTTGTCTTTTTTTGTTTGTTTTCCCTATCAGAATGTCCCTGTTTCTTACTGTAGTCTCTGTCACTTTTAATGCAATTTCAAGTCTTTTCTTTCTGTACCTGTTTTGTTACATAGGGTAAGAAAGTAGTTCCATGCAGGCACGATTGGCACCAGACTGGAGGAGAAGTGACTATTTCTGTATATGCTAAAAACTCTGTTCCTGATCTGAGCTACGTAGAAGCAAATAGCACAATGGTGAGCATCTACCTTAAGATGTAATTCTTTTTTAATTCTTACAGTAGCTTGAACTTGGGAAAATCTGGCTTCTAGTTTATGTACAAGGCAGAGGGAGCATAAGAATCTTACTTGAGTAATGGCTTTTTCTTGGCATTTGTGTTCATTCAAGTATGTATAGCTTGGAGTTTTCCCTTCTGTTTGGACATCTGTTCTTTAATGTTTTTTGTTTAAGATGCAATATAATATGTAAAAATACCCAAACTCTTTAATTTGACTTCTGCAGTTAAAACCCAAGTGTGATGGATTTGCATCACCATATGGGTAAATAATTATAGATTCATAATTTAGTGGTATGTGGCTTATTGTAATTTAATAGTGTTCTTCACGGAATGCAGTTTTTCAGCTGCTAATATTAAGCAAGTGTTAAAATGCTTCACTGATTTCTTAATCATGCACTTGGAGAAAATGACACAGCTTCTAGGATGTATGTGGCCACTATTGGCTATGATACTGTATCAGAAACTGTTAGAATAGATTTTCACTTCTGAGGGACAGTTTGGTCACTTTGCTTATTGTAGGGTCTGTGTCCTAATGTAATGTATTTTACTTAAACATACTTGAGGTGTCAAACATTTTAGTAGCCTGACAACATTTTCTCTTGTTTTCCTGTTAAGTTAAATATCCATATCGTATTTGAAGGAGATAAGGAATTTCATCGCAGTGTGAAACTATGGGGAGTAAGTATAAGAATAATTTTTCTATTAAAACAACCAAACAAAACCCTCAGCTTCCTCTCTTTCAAAACAGTTTGATTTCCCTCATTATTCTGCTTACTGAAAGAAATCCAGTTACTTGCATTCATTAATTACATTTAAATCTCAATGTAATGCCTCAGGTGATCAGGTGTGACAACATAATTGACAGTGCTTTGAGCAGAAGGAGACCCCCTGAGGTCCTTTCTGATCCCAGCGCCGGGATAGCGGTGGTGCAGAAAACCCTTGGCACTATGTAGTTGTATGCTTATGGATGTGTTAGACCAATGTATATGTTTCATATGCATGGGCGTATATATGTTCATAGTTTGGGAATGGGAGAGGGATGACTTTTCTAGATAACAAGAGGAAACTCCATCTACCTAAACATCAACTGAAATTTAGCGATAAATTCCCAGTAACTTAATTCCCAAGTATCTAGCAGCCTGTTTTCTTAAATTGAAGAGTGAAATGTGTTTTTTGTTCTAGGTAATCGATGTAAAGAGGAGTTACGTGAACATGACAGCTACAAAGATCGAGCTTACTATGAGAAAAGCAGAGCCCCTATTATGGGCAAGTCTTGAATTACCAGTATCCAACACACAACAACAAAAAGAGAATTCAGATCAATAATGATACCAAGAGACAAGTTATTTCCCCTTATGAAGTGGTGACTTGCTACTGTAATCAAATATTTTAACTTTTATATAGAGTCATTTTTTTATGCTAGAGCATATGTTCCATTATACAAAGAAATTTGATGTACAGTAAATGGGGGTGTAAACTTGAAGGGTAATAGCTATTTCTGCTCTTGCTCCCATGAGTATATTTATGCTAGTTGAAGTGTCTCCATGGGGATCTAGAGTAAAAAGAGCTATTGCCCTTTGCTTACAATCTTACCTACCATGTACTGACTATCCAAATAGATGTGATCTCAGTCCACTGTGTGTGCTGATTTTTCAAGTATTCAGTTTAGACTGGGTCTGCTGGGTGGCACATATTAGATTCAGTACTGTTCAGTGTGAAGCATCCAGTAACACAGATACAAAAATCTGAGTTTATGAAGTGATTAGCGTGCAGTTCTACATCTAGAATAAAAAGGCACATAAATATCAAAAACCAGCTGTAGACTTGCAATTCCATCTTGTGAAACTAAAGTTTCTTTCAATACTGATTGGCTGTGGAGGGATGGAATAAACAGTATTTTGCTAAGGATTTCAGTACTTGCTGACTCTTTCTGTATTTCATGTATAAAAGCAGGAGGTCAGATTAGAATAAAAAAAGTAAATGGACAGTGAAATAACTGAATAACTTAGCATCTCATCTGTGGAGACTATAGAAACAGCAGACTATTGCAAAATTACCAAGGTGCTGTATAGATTTGACAGGGTATATTCTGTCCAATTCTACAATACTTGAAATTGAGTCTTTTTTCGAAGTAGGTGGATATGTATAGTAGGAGAAGCCAGTACATGCTGTAGGTGTTCCAGGAAAATTTTTCCATGTAGATATGCATAGCTCTTTTTTCTGAGGATGGTAATCTAAAGAGCTAAATTTATCTACGGGATAAATCTTAGAAGAAGTAAAAAACAAGCTTTAAAATGTTTGTCTCAAATCGTAATTGTACCTTTGAGTTAAAATACATTAAAAATATTATTTCTTTAGAGCAGCATAAGCAAAACACTCTAATATGAAATTAAGACCTTATCTTTGTTTTCAGTTCTCCATCAGTAACGATTTGTGGCTGAAAGCAGGATAAAGATGAGACTTTTATCCAAGCAGCAATACATGCAGTAATCTTGATTTCTCATTTTGCTTCAGATAGTTTCTTAATTTTGGGTTGCAGCTGAATGGAAAACAGCGTTTTGTGTATGAAGACATGCAAAGTCATAGAATCATATCATCATAGAATGGTTAGGGTTAGAATGGACCTTAAAGCTCATCTGGTTTCAACCCCTCTGCCACATGCAGAGGCATCTCTGCCCCGTCCGACCTGGCCTTTAGCACTTCCAGGAATGGGGCATATGAATGCAAATGGAAGCCTGTACACAATTATTTATTGTGCCAAAACTTATGTTTGTAAACAAGCTGTCCTGTGGACTTTGAAATGTGCAGGTGCTCATTTACCTACCTTGGTGGGCCTGGAATAATAACAAGAGGGATACAGAACATAGTGAAGTCATTCTGAAGTTAAATATGGATTTCTAAGAAACTTACTGTTCTCCAACAGGTATAATTTGACATGACCTCAGAGTTCTGTCTTTAGCAGTACTTGAAGTCCTACTTCATGCTTGAAGTAGTACGAAATACATTACCAAAGAAGCCATCCCCAAACACCAGGAGAGTCAGGCTAGTGCTGTATATATGGAATTTGTTTTGGTGCTTCTTTACCTTCATTTCAAAATCCTGTTTCCTCACAGACTTGAGCAGACTGTGGTTGCTTACTTCCTTGGGCCCCTATTAAAAGTTCTAGCTCTAAGTTCTGCTTAAAAGATTCTATTAACTTCTAATAATGCCATTTTTTCTTCTTCCTTTTTTTCCCCTATATATAAATTTGACAATGTCAAATCAATACTGTGAAGTGATGGGGTGCAAGCTCACAAAACTGTGCCTGCAGAAGGTCCTATAAAAATTGAACAGTTGTTCCCTGGTGTGTTCTGAACTAACAAGTAGAGCTTGTATTACTGTGATACTGAGAATAGTCACTTCAGTGCATGAAATACTCTAGATAGCTGTAGCTCCTAGCGTGCCATCTGTGGTTTTGTATGCAGAACTCTGAACTTGGACAGCAAAATGAGCAGCGTTCAAATGCCAGGATAAAGATTTTATTTAACAAGCAAGTTCAAATATGTGTCTATCCATATGGATATATAAATACCCTATATAAATGTTTTCTACATTTTTTTAACATATTTTCAGTTTATTTGCATCCACAAATGCAGTAGGTTTACATTATGTAAAATACATTTTGAAGAGCTACAAGGGAAATGGAGTTTTGGGGGAAAACGGTATTTCTGGCAAGTTGTATTCTTCCTTAGTAGAGCAAATGCTAAACAGAGAGCAGTGTGGATGAATGGCCCCTTCTGCTGAGACTTTGGGGTCCCCTAACTGTTCGATATGCTCTTTCAAACTGCATTCTGCTGGTAGCTGAGTCAGCTTGGCCATAAGTAGAAGAAAGCTCCTGTAATCATGGTCCTCGCTTTTGCTTTTTATTCATTCCTCCTACTCTTTTCCTGTTATTCATACTCTGAGCTCAAACTTAAAGATGCTTCCAGAGCCCCATAATGACTTCTTGTATCAGTACCACTACATCCATTTTAAATTTGACCTGTTTAAAAAAGTAAGCAAACATACAGAAGATCTCCAGCTTTGATGAGGCAGAAAGGTACAGGTTTTACAAGAAACAGTCTAGTTTTCAAGGGCCTATGATGCTTTTCAGAATGAGAGGATAAACTTTCAGATGGTATGGACTGCTACAAGTGTCTTGTTTAGCTGCATTCATTCTTAGCAGCTTGTAACTGTATGTCTGCAACCATCATCAAGCTGCAAAGCTGCATCATTTACCCAAGTTGAGTGACTTGAGCAGTTGTTCAGAATAGCTTTCAACACACCAGTGACATCTCAACACAAGTAGGGGTAGCTGACACTTCAGTGGAATATTGCTTTGGCTGCAGCTTTTAGTAGTGAATGTGGAGAGAAGGTGAGACAAGCTGTAGCACATCAAAATAATCACAAGACTGTCTCAAAAGCAAGGCTTGAAAACTGGTTTTTGATCATAACAGGCTTTCACCTGTCTAATAATAGCAAAATGAAATTGCAAACAGGTATGTACTAGAATACTTGCTATTAAATATACCCTTTTATTCATGTTTTCAGGAGTTGTGCTGTATTTAACGAGTTGGTTAAATTGATATGGTATAGCTATATTTTTATAATGAATGAGTCTTTAAAGGCTGTGGTTTCATTGTGGGTTTACATGTTACACATGGAGACAGCATATTGCGAGTCTCGGAACTGACTGTCCAGATGCAGGTAAAACCTTTCCTTCACAATCCCTTTATAATATGAAAAATTGCATGAGTATGCAGACAGAAATCTTAATCTTCTCCCTCATGTATAAGCCCATTTTCCTACCTAGCATTACATCTGATACCTGTAATGTTTCTTGGAGGAGCTGGAATTTATTGTTAATACACAGTTAAGCACTTGCCTGTCCAGCTACTCTGACCCTTACATCTTAAATGGCACTGATGTAACTTGACAAAAAATACCTAACCTTGGATAATCTTCCAGAACATGTACATTATCAAGTCACCATTTCAGTAGTTTAGGGATTAGTTTTACTAGGAATTTTGCCTTGAACAAAAAAAATTACTTATTCTATGTAATGATGCGTATTTTGCTTGCACTCTTGACACATGGCATGAGTATTGGCTAAATACTGTACCTGTTCATCATTGGTTTTGCCCAATTGCTACTAAATTTTTTTATCTCCATTCAGGAACAAGATCCTTTTTAAAACAATGAGTTATGTGTCTGGAACACTGTTTTAAAGTGGTAATAATATTGCCATTACAAGAGTCATGAATTACAGTTGGAGGGGGGAGATGTCTTTTTGCATGGTTGTTTGATTCTGCACATTCATAAAACTTATATGCAGAAATTAATCTCATGTCTTCATGCTCTAGGGGGTTTTCTTTTCTAAGTATATTCAATAAAATTCTTCTTACATGCTGGTTGCATTTGGGGGGTTTGACTTCTTTTGTTATGGAAGAAAGCTTCCCTTTGGATTTGCCATGTGGTTGTTGAAATGAAGCGTGTGTTTTCAACAGGTCAGCCTGTATCTGAGGAAACTCTGGCCAAGAGCTTCTTCTCCACCCCTTAGCTGGTTTCTTTGCCTGTTGCTCTCTCACACCACAGCCCTGTCAAGACACGTTCTGCAGCAATTGGAGTGTGACTGCTCAGAGGGGGCCAGTCTTGTTCCTAGGAGTTGGTGTGCCCAAGAACTTTGAGCTGTCACAAACTTAGTGGAACTGGAATAGTTTCAAATACAATGTTTGGGCTGTTTCTGAAATTGCTGAAGGTATTACGGTTTTGCTGCTTTTTTTTCTATTTTCTTGGAAAAAGGGCAAAGGTACCTGTCAAACCTCTGGCCTGCTTCCCAGAGCAGAGAAAAAAAGGATTTGCGGTTTGGGGCCTGAAATTTGTAGAATCATATGAATAACAGAATCATTTGGATCGGAAGGGATCTTAAAGCTCATCCAGTTCCAATCCCCTGTCATGGGCAGGAACAGCTTCTGCTTGACTAGGTTGCCCTAATTCCCATCCAAGCTGGCCTTGAATACGGCCAGGGATGGGGCAGCCACAACTCCGGGCAACCCATGCCAGGGCCTCACCACCCTCACAGGGGAAGAATTCTCTATGGTAATAAAAACTGTGTTTTCTCCAAGTTTGGGTACGTGTCTTAACCAAACATAACCAAGATACTGTCATTGATATTCCAAACTAATCCACAGATACTGAGCCAAGTGTGTGTTAGTCAAGCAAATTCAGTTTCTCTGAGTTTGTCTACAGAAGGAAGGGTTGGTGTTGGGTAAGCAGGACGTTGTCAGTAAAGGGGCCAAGAGTATGGTCCTGAAGAATTCTCTGTAGGCAGCACAGATCTAAACCCATGTTCATAAAGTGAATGATTTCCTGCCCAACTTCTGAACTTTTGTTTTCCTGGCTGAGTGCTGGCATGAACAGGAATGAAGAGCTGTATGTGACCAGTATCTGGTAACACGTCTGTAGTCGTGTGAGCCCAGAAGGAAAACTGTTCAGGAGCACATACCCCTAACCTGGAGGTATGTGAAATGCACCAATGTGTTTAAATTGAGCAGCCTGTATGGTGACTGATGCTGGCTGTCCAGAAAGTGTGCTGTCTTTCTGCAGCCAGTGCACCTTTGTGTGAGAAGGAAGCATCCTCCTGAATAAAACATGGTTTCTGCCTTCAGGAAGCAAGTATTTGAAGAAAGGAGTCCCTTGTTAAATGTTAATAGAAGCTGCACTGCAACAGGAGTCATTCAGAGCTAGCTGGAGGCAGAGCTGGTACCTTACAACCAGCTATGAACCAGTCCAGAAACCTTGTTCTGTGAAATGTGTTTTAGATTCATGATAAATACTGATGCTATGATATTGCTGCTGAATTCAGTGCTTGGGAGAAAACTAACCTCA